ATATATATATATATAAATTATAATAAGAGCCCAACACAGAGCCTTGTGGTACCCCTTTACATCATGTAAAAAAAAATTATCTCAAACATGTTCCTCTATATCTTTACAAAATTAAACAGCTAATTCTCTGAAATTTAGATATTAGTCAGAAAATTGAGATCACGGGTTTGTTACTCACCACGATCTTTACACTGAATAAATGTGTCATGGTGTTCAAGTGGTTGCCCCACTTTCGTCCACTTATCTTTGACAGATTTGTGGAGACACACCTGAACCTTTCCTACAGAGTGGGCTGTCTGAACTATAAGCACAGGACAACAGAGAAACACTTCTTTAGAATGAGAAAAATAAATGACTGATAATTTTCAATAAGGATATAGTTTAAATAGTAGTACCATGTAAATGCCATAATAACATACAATTGTAATGAGTCAGTAGCAAGGTACTGTACACTACACCACAATGGATCACAATAATATAAGTTTATATCATCACTGTACCATGGTACAGCCACAGTACATTTTGTACAGATCATTTTCAAAATATTTCTACATTTAACACAAAAAGCATGTCTAACTGAACATACTACTCACCATCCACACGTCCTTGAACTTCACTGGACAGGCCTAAAAAAGGAACAGTGTTATCAACTATTATAGCATGTTATAACAGATATAGAGCAATACGCAACAATGTTCATGTCTCAGTGGCTGGAGAAGTGCAGAAAGACCCACGCCAGTAGAGAAGGTACGACATCTTCCCTAAGAGCATCTCCACCTGAAGAATATCATCCTGTAGATCCACCACTGCACATCCGGCGCTGGGAATCTGATAAGGAAAAAATAAAATAATGTTTTAATTACATTTTTAACAATTCCCTTTCTTCTTCTTCCTTTATATTTGAGAAAAGACAACCAGATAACCACTGCATTTTAGGAAAATGAGTTGACACCAACCTTTCGCTTGGTGTGAATAACAATATTGACAGTTCCATCTGTCTGGAACCAATCATACCTAAACATGAAGAAAAAATATATCAAGAATCAGCCGGTATGGCTTTGATTAGGTGAGGCTGACAAGTTTATTAAATTTTTTCCTAATTTTTGCCTAGCTTAAATATTTCTTTATTTGTTCATTTTTGTTTTTCATAAAATACTAGTATTTTTAGAGCCCTGTTAGTAAACTGTCTGAGTGGTTAAAATAACTATACGATTCACCGAATGAATCTACCTGGGATCAAACATGTAACCTCAACAATACCAGCCAAGACCATTATTCATTATTCACCAGAATAAAATACACAATAAAAAGTCTGAATAAAACACAGACCAGCTGATACTGTACCAAGAAATGAGTCACTCAGTATAAATATATTTTAATCATGACATAAGGAAAAAAAACATACCGAGGGCGATGATCTTTGGCAGGGAGAGGAGTAGGTAAAGGCTCCTGTCTTAAAGGTGAAGGAACAGGCAAACCTGGTATGAAGAGTACCACACACAGAATCACTGTGTGTAATAATACAACAAGTAATAGCATACTCAGCATTTACAACTAGAAATCTGCATAGTTGAACTATGGCTTTGATGTCATACCGTTCATGTGAGTGCTTTCCGTCTTCTTTGTCTGAGCTGCAGGAACCAAAGAACCATGTAACGATGCATTAAAACAAAACTTTTTTTCATCAAAAATCTTATTTCGGGTTTGTTTCTGAATCGGTAGGAATATTTCATTCTGTTAACAGTATGTTAATTAGTACTAGTATTTTCTAATTAGTAATTAGAAAATATTTCAACTATTGATTATTTCAAGCAAAAACTTGATGTGCAGGCCGTAAGGCAGTATGTTTGTATTAGAATAATTATATTTCTGTCATGACAACTCTCAGAGGGATTGGCATGGTAATGTACATGACAATGTTAATGTATTTGGTCTTGGCGGAATAGATCTGCTATGCTGCTGCTGCTCCTGCAGCAGAGCAAGTAACGAGACTTGCTACTGCCAATACATCCACAACATGCTGCTGTGAGCATGTAAGAAATACTGCTGCTGCAAATATAACATACATGAAATAACCCCCATATAGCATACATGAATCACCTCATAGCAGATCTATACAGGTGGAGCTGGGGAAGGTGGAGGGTATCTGAAGCAAGCTGCAACTGCTACGGCAAGCACTAGTCATATATTTGAATGTTAAGGAGCGAGCTCATTGGCTACCGATACAGGAAAGAACCAATCAGCTGTGCCATGTGATAATGATGTCATTAGGTCAGATTGAGTTAGACCTATCGGACTGCGCCATCTAGAGTTTCATGCCAGAACTCTGTATATTATCACAAAATGAATGAATTTCACTGAATTATTTTCTATTGCCAAGAGAGCTGACAGAACCTTGAAGAGCAGGGTTGGGCTTCACTGCCATCCTCCCCACCAGACACTCCTTCAGCATAGACTCATAATTCACCCACCGATGGACCTTGGGTGGACAGAATCAGCAATAGTAATAATAAAAATAATAATAATAAGTATACTGTGATAAAGTACTTACAGTAATCTGCAAGCTATTAGTTTATAGTTAATTCATAGTTTATAAATTCAAGTCTCTACATTTTTAATACATTAATAGTAAGTGTTTCTAAATTGTTTTCAAATACATTACATAAAAATGTGTACCAATTCACTTCATACATAATGTCTTTAAATTGATTTAGTATTAATTAATTGCTTTTTATAAATGTTCTCATGAACCATTACTCTGGTTTACAAATCAGACTATCCTCAATGTTTATATGTAGATACTCGTATGTAACATTTATAAATAAATGTATGTTTTAATACATGCCGAAATGTAAGAAGCAGCTGTACAACATACAATTGAGTCACCTATGATAAATGTGAAATGCTATTTTATTGATCACAAATTCAACAGATTAATTCCATTAATTGAATATTCATATTAAATAAGTATTTGTAAACATTTGTACATCTATACAGTTAAAGAGTTGTTCATATGCAGATGTTTCACGTTTAAATGTAAGTAAATGTGCATGTGGTAGAACCACACTTAAAATACATTCAAATACACATGAGATCATGTTGTTTAAATATAATATTATTAATAATAATAATAACTCTTTTCATATGAGCAAATTAAAGGGGGGGGATAACAATGTAAAGTCTATTTATAAACTATGAATTAACTAGTTTGCACATTATTTATAAGTAATTGTAGCTGTACACTTAACTTAAACTGTTACATCATTTGAGATCAAAAGATGGACTGTTTTCTGAAACCACCGTTAAACACTCTGCTCAGGGAGAATTTACCTGATCGAACAGGTCAGTGCTATCAATCCCAGCAGCCCTCATTAACTCCTCCTCCCCACCAGGGTGGAAATCCATGTAGGCACTCACATTATAGACCATACCTACAGAAACCACACAAGCATACAGAGTCATGTGTACATGATCTGACACAGCTCCAACATCTTGTATTTCTTATGTGGATACAAACAGAACTGAACGAAGTCACTTATGCTCACCACGGCTGCATATTGATACTGCATAAAATATTGGTTTCCCGTTTTAATATATATATTTTAAAATGTATTTCTAATTTACTTCTGTGTTTGCATAAGTGCATTTTCAGCATCATTTAGAAATCGTACTAATAAGCCGATTTGCTGCTCAAGAAACATTTCTGATTATTATTATGAAAGTTAAAACGGTTGCGCTGCTTAAAGAATTCATCAAAAAAGATCTTAATTTGTGTTCCGGAGATGAACAAAGGTCTTTTCCGGGTTTGGAACGACACGAGGGTGAGTAATTAATGACAGAATTTTCATTTTTGGGTGAACTAACCCTTTAATATTTTTTGTGGGAACAATGATTTTTATTATTATTATTATTATTATTATTTAGGACAGCATTTTTTAACAACATTTTTATTTTATTATGATTTTTGTATATTCGAAATGTGTTATTTGATACATTCGATGGATTAAATGTAGCGTTTTTTGAATAAAAGTATATCTTTCTTTTTAAAAGTTCCACTGAATCCAAACTCGACCAAAACAGATTCCCAACAGAAGCTTTACTGAGATGAGTTGTGTTCATGGTGTGCATTTTGACGTTCTACCTCTAATGCAGGTCCAGCAGTCGTTTCTGGTGTTGTGTTTCTTCAGCTCCTCTTCTGTCACCTCAATCAGTCGACCTCTCAGTCCAGTCAGATCACGTCCACTCTTGGTCAGTCGGATCCAGTCCAGTAGACTGTGACCTGGCTTTAGCGCCACCTGTATTCGTTACACACCGCAGTAAATGCACAGTGCTGTACACACAACTACATGTTAAATACAGAGTCTCCTTTTGCTATGCATTTAATTCACTCTTTAACCCTTTAACTGTCACCCGTCCCCTCTGTGGGACGCCTAAGTTTACTTCACTATTACAATTAAATCCTAATCTAATCATGACAAACTATATATTGTTGGAAAGGTCTAAGACTCCTAAATAGATATTTTACCAATGTTTTTGTAAAAATTGATGTAGGAAAAGTTATAGATTAATTTATGACAAGAGTGCACCTCAAAAATCTACATCAAAGTTCTGACCTTTGTAGCAAAAAGCCGTTTTCTCGATCACACTTTAGAAATCATCACCAATTAAATATCAATTGAAAACTTGAAATCTCAAAATTCCTCCTTTGAAACCCATTTTCAAATCAAACATTGCATTACCATGAAAATGGTACATCAATATCATGTTACAAAATGTTTCCGTTCATGAATTATGCACATTTAAGTTTGGATCGTGCACTTTCACTTCTACAGGTGCAGCTCAATGAATTAGAATGTCGTGGAAAAGTTCATTTATTTCAGTAATTCAACTCAAATTGTGAAACTTGTGTATTAAATAAATTCAATGCACACAGACTGAAGTAGTTTAAGTCTTTGGTTCTTTTAATTGTGATGATTTTGGCTTACATTTAACAAAAACCCACCAATTCACTATCTCAACAAATTAGAATATGGTGACATGCCAATCAGTTAATCAACTCAAAACACCTGCAAAGCTTTCCTGCGCCTTCAAAATGGTCTCTCAGTTTGGTTCACTAGGCTACACAATCATGGGGAAGACTGCTGATCTGACAGTTGTCCAGAAGACAATCATTGACACCCTTCACAAGGAGGGTAAGCCACAAACATTCATTGCCAAAGAAGCTGGCTGTTCACAGAGTGCTGTATCCAAGCATGTTAACAGAAAGTTGAGTGGAAGGAAATAGTGTGGTTTATTGAGATGCACCTGTATGTTCAAAAATGTGACAGTTAAAGGGTTAAATGACTCCTACGACAATAATGTAGTTTAAGGGACCGACCTTATTTCTGGACTGTCCGGTTGGTGCGACTCTCTGCTGGGATCCAGCTGCCGGAAAAGACTGAGATGGTACATTTAACATCTCTGATGCTTTCCGACAAATCCAGTTCCTGAGAAAACCTGCCCAAGCACACTAAATATGTCACTGATCAGATGACAGAACCGGGCAAAACGCACTAATTTGAGAAAATACACTTTAACGCCACTGATCCGAGGAAGTGTTATGAGAGTGTTATGAAATGCGGCTTCCTCATTTTGGCAGGTGGCTTGATTTTTTTGAGCTATCGAACATGGCAACATGATCCAATCGAACTGCTCTAAAAACACACAAACACAGAGAAATGCAACAACCACTAGCGATGATACTGCTGTCACAACATAGCCGACAGACAGCAGCTGCAGCAGTCCTACTAAAAGAAGAAAACCGGTCGCCAAAATATGACGTCATAGCGTCCACTAGCGACCATTCTGATTTCATAATAAAAGACTTATGTTATTAGAATTTAAATACGAATACTTAAATAAATTTACACGGCGCAAAATTATATTGGTCTGTCAATATAAAAACTAGCTAGTGATAGTGATTGTGTTTCCATGTGTGTGTGTGTATAAGTGACAATATTTGCTATATTTACTTTTTATATTAATCTTTTTTTCCAACTAGACCGAATAAACGTTTATAAACAAAAATATGTTATCTGAAATCAATTATTTTATATATATATATTTACTTTGAACAACATTTCAGATTATTTTTTTTTTGTCTATCATAGCTAACTTAGATTGTGTTTCCATGTGTGTGTGTGTATAAGTGACAATATTTGCTATATTTACTATTTGCTATATTTACTTTTTATATTAATCTTTTTTTCCAACTAGACCGAATAAACGTTTATAAACAAAAATATGTTATCTGAAATCAATTATTTTATATATATATTTACTTTGAACAACATTTCAGATTATTTTTTTTTTTGTCTATCATAGCTAACTTACTTCAGGTTTTTATTGTTTGAAAGTGCACTAGTACAACTGCTACTGTCCCAACATACAGACTGTTTCTCATATATCTGGTAGTCATTATGTATTTAAAACTCACCAGACACAACACTGGATATGACAGAAAGGACAGCTGAAATGTTCCCTCTGTTCTCTTCCTCATCTTCTTCCTCAAAGTCCTCATCATCTTCCTTTAGCATTCCTGTGATATAACTTTTACGATCAGTGGTTTCAGAAAACATTACACATGATTATCAATTTGATAAAATGCATTGCTCTATGGCATTTTGACAGGGGACACATGCTGACGGGCGTGACTTTTATTAATAGCTAATCTGTTTAATCCCGGAATGGCATGGACGTTCATAGTAAACGTTATCATTTCAAAATAAAAGTTTCAAAATGTAAAGAATGTTTCTGTTTATAATTATCTTCCTTTAGCATTCCTGTGATATAACTTTTACGATAAGTGGTTTCAGAAAACATTACACATGATTATCAATTTGATCAAATGCATTGCTCTATGGCATTTTGACAGGGGACACATGCTGACGGGCGTGACTTTTATTAATAGCTAATCTGTTTAATCCCGGAATGGCATAGACTTTCATAGTAAACGTTATCATTTCAAAATAAAAGTTTCAAAATGTAAAGAATGTTTCTGTTTATAATTCTGCACAAATGCAGTTTTAATTTACAAAGAAACCTCAAACACCATCTAATGTCCTTCCACCTTTCCTCAAACACTCGTTTTTTTGGGATGAATGCCTAATAACTCAGACTAACACTATAGCAAAGGAAGCAGACATTGTTAAATTACTTTAAATACACATGTATGTTACAGTGCTTGTCAAAAATGCATTGGGCAAAACATTCATTTGAACTCAACTGATGCACAACTAAAAATATCCTGAACTAGACTTTGTGAGATGACTTTGACTGCATCCACTACTAAACCGTGGATAGAAAGCGCATATGACTTGATTGCAGAAATATCCTGAAAGATTCTTATGTAGCTTTCAACACTACCTGGGGGGGGGGGAACAAATCTAGGACTGCATTCAGATATTTGTTTCAAGACTAAGTGCAATACAAATATCTACTTAAACCTTTACCTAACAAATGTTTAAGGTCAAGATAAACTGTCAACTCCTTGTTACCAAGGATCTTTAAATTAAGATACTGATGCGTTCTGTAGATTAACTTTACATTCACCAGAGATTCTGTATTCACTGATTACACACAAAGTCACTTAAACTGAGCTTGCTATAATGTATAAATGCTGTAATAAAATATTTTTCTTTGGAAAGCTGATGGACAATTACTCTGAATGTTTGCTGGATGGATAGATTAGTTGATAGATTAGTTAGTTATGTTACAATTACTTTGGGCAGCTGATACATATAAATTTAACTGATTATAACAATGGCAGCAGATGTCTTCCACTGCTGTGTTATGGTGCGTTCAAGTCATGTTGGATAGATCGTATTTACGAGTTGAACGCACATGAACGCCACCACAAAGTCGTTATTACGAGTGGGAAACTCAAAATTTTCTTTAAGCCCCGAGTTTCCGAGTTGGGGGCGTGTCAATGAGAAACATGGCGGAATCGATGGATGCAACGTCTGTAGTTGACAGTACATTTTTGTTTAAATTGATAGTTTAGTTGTCCTATAAATTTTAATTGGTCATGTTCTTGTTACGCAGCTAGTTAATGAAATCCAAGTAAAAAAATGCTATAATTTTTGCACCTATAGGTGAAAAATCTTTCGATTTGCCATGATGCATTTAGCTAACAGCTTTTTTTAACCTCTGTATTTTAGCATTTGTTGATGCTGAAAATCAGTTATACTGGGATCCTGGTCTAAAAAAAAATATTAAAAACGCATAACACACCTGATGCGAATTCTTTGCTCTTCTTTTTCTATAAGCAGAGTTAACAGACCCTGTTGTATTTTCTTGTAATTTATTAAAAGAAGGTACACTGCCATCTTGTGCCAACTAAACTGACTTGAACGCACCTGACGTCGTAATTACGACTTGGCAACTCGTAAATACGAACGTCCCAGGAGGACTTGAACGCAGCATTAGGCCACATTGCAGTGGGAAGGAGTAGTAGGATCTGTTTCACAGCCTTGAATACAAAACACTTGTGAACGATGAACTCCTGAACACTCAGAAGGCCCTTGGTCTAAAACATGCAGATGAAGGAGCCTTGAAGGTGAAGGTTCTGAAGTCTGTTCAGAAGATCGTGATGTTAGACCAAGGACTTAACACACTTATCATGTGTGTCCTTACTCAGAGCCACATTTACAAAATGCCATTGTGTTTGCCCAGAGGAGAATAACCTGTTTGATGAGGGCCATCTAACACAATGAATCCAACAAACAGAAAAAACTCAAAGCTCTATACAGGTCAGATAAACCCCTTCTGAAGAAGAGAATCAGGGAATCTAAGTGCAGTACACACACTGGCCCAGCTAACCAATCACAGCACACACTGGCCCAGCTAACCAATCACAGTACACACTGGCCCAGCTAACCAATCACAGTACACACTGGCCCAGCTAACCAATCACAGTACACACTGGCCCAGCTAACCAATCACAGTACACACTGGCCCAGCTAACCAATCACAGTACACACTGGCCCAGCTAACCAATCACAGTACATTTCGTATTTCAGAAGGCACGCCTTCATTTGATACAGGAACTATTCGAGCCGTTCATGCCAGACTGGGGAGAGAGGAGTACAATCTAGTATGAGAGCCTGTTCAAGTACAACCCCCAAAACAAAATCAAGACTTTGTAAAAGAGCATAACAGGACCCATTTAATGGGAGTTTTTGAGAGTGCTTGAAAATGTTCTTTGATAATGTAAATGTTCTTTGCTCTCTTTCTGTACAATGAAAGTGTTATGATAGTAGCCTAACTTGCAATGTTTTTATTCACATTAAATATAAACTCAGTCATATTAAAAATATGTTATGGCATGACATCCATATCTGTTAATTAAGTAAACAGACAGGTTTTTAAGCATAGTTAATAGATTACATTATTAGGTTACTTTGACCATCGCCCACTATAGATCAACATAATCTATAAAGTGAGAATCAAGATATTTCATGATGTAGTTAATGCGTTTGGGGATGTTTCTAAAAAAAAAAAAAATAATAAATAAAACATAAGTGCTGTTGTGGCTGAGGTGTGTCACAGGACGACCCCCCCCCCCCCCCCCCCCCCCCCCCCCCCC